TTTGGTTGGTAGGTTAACTTGAAATAGTAAAAATAATAATAATAAAAACCTCGTAGTGAATTATTTTAATAACAGAATATCGATAACATTTACGCTTCCAAGAACAACACTATCTCAAAATAATAATTTTAACAACAATCATCAAAATATACAAACAAACAGCCAATCTGAAGAAATCAAAGCAAAATTTGGCAAGATTTATGAATACAATTTAAATATGTCTAATTACATGAGACATTTGGGCTTTTGTGATTTATAAACAGAAAATTAACTTTAATATTAAATGTAATGTAATAAATTAAATGTAATATTGTACAGGCACGTGCCTGTACAATATTACATTCGGTCGTTTTTCGCTTTTTCTAATGCCATATCCCGTAATGCTGCAGTGACGAATTTTTATTAATACTTAATTGTAGGAAATTAAACTATTTTTTTTTCTATTATTTATTCTCTTCTTTATTATTTTTTAGTTCTCACTGTCAATATTTTATTACAATACATACGAATAATTCAATAAAACGCTTGGAAAAACATTTGTTTGACATTTGATGTACTTCCATTTGACAACCGTATCATGTACCCTCATGTGCTGCGAAATCTTAGAGGATGGAAAAAAAGTAAACGAGCTGCCCTATTTACGGAATAAACATACCTACCTAAACCAAAATTGTACCACACATATGGCGGATTTGGTGTTGTACCATGATCATAGATAAGTCAACATCGCCATGCAAATGTATGGCTTGATTGTTGAAACAATGAGCAATTTTAATCAAAATTAAATATAAAGTTATTTACCAATAAATGTAACGATGGAATTGCATTAGCATGTAATCTAGTTACATTCAAAGTTCTATTAAAATTTGACTTCAGAATGGAGCGAACAAACGAAGATGGTATTTGATCCAATGTTTATGATCGGCAGTCCTATAATTTCCAACCATTCTTTCTTTCTTTTTCATTTGTAGGTAAACTTTAAAAATAATAATAACGAAATAATAAACTCCTCGTAGTGACTTGTTTTAATAATAGAATATCGATAATGTCTGCTTACAAGAACAATACTGTCTCAGAACAATCGTTATCAACCATCATCAAAATATACTAACAAACAGACAATCTAAAGTAACCTAAGCAAAATGCTGCAAGGCTTATGAATAAACTACTTTAAATAAGTCTAATTACATGAGATATTTGGGCTATTGTATGATTTATAGGCAGAAAAATAACACATGCCGGTGTAATATAACATTCGGTTGATTTCCGCTTTTTCTACTGCTGCACCCCTTAATGCTGCATTGCCCTTAACACTGCGACGCATTTTTATCAATACTTAATTGTTCTCACTGTCAATATTTTTGTTCATTTCATTACAATTCATGCGAATTATTCACTAAAACATTTGGCTAAACATTGGTTTTGACATTTGATGTACTTCCCTTTGACGACCGGAAACGGTTATCAAAGGGTACTACAAAAATGGCAAAATGAGGACAGTTGGCATTTAATAATAATAACGCACACACTCAATATGGCCCCGCACTAGGGAAACCCTGTGTCGCGGGTGCCATGGACACACACATGGACAACCACAAATTACACCCAAAGTCATGAGAGAAATAAATGTAGGCCATACAAATATTTCTCCCGACCCGGGAATTGAACCTGGGACCTCTGCGTGGCAGTCTGGTAACCGTTCGGCCACAGAGGCAGTTAAATTTAAGATGACGTTACGTATTTTCGATTCCCGTGTTTGACATAAGTCAATGTAGTGCTATCTCTTTTGGCTTACGACGGCACGCAGTAGTTAAACAAAGACAATAAAATGTTTATGTTTTCAACGTTGCAATGCATCATATACATATAACGTCTGATTCATATATGTCAACATAACATGTCCTTTAGTTTTTATAGTCTAAGGGTTGGACGTACATCCAGGTTTCGTATCACGAATAAAAAATATAAGAGAGTTGCCATCTTGAAATTTATATTATTAATACCTTTCTAAAAAACACATTGAAATGAAGTATTTTTTTTTGCCTTTATTAGATATACGCGAAAATAATTTCATTTTAAAGCCTCAAAAATCGATGAAAAACTACACTGCAGGAAATTTTATTTTTGTCGGGAAGATTGACTTTTTCCATATCGTCAACTCATTACAGTCCGCCAAGCTAGCTCAATGTGAATTGGGGACTATAAACTTCTTACAAGGATTCTGGAGCTTCTTCGACGAATACAGGTTTCTACACGATATTTTCCTTTACAATTCGCAAGAAACATTTAAAGTCATAAGTACATGCATACCACCAAAGGAGTTCGAAGCGTCGCGCGTCGGTCTCTCAAGTGGGAATCAACCGCTCTCCCACTGGGTCACCAGAGAGGTTCTTAGCTCTACAGGATCGTGTGCCAAAATATATAAAAAGTATCTAGTTAATTATTGTAACTACTACCTAAAGCAATAAACACATAGTTACACGCTGATCTTATTATCTTAGTAATTATAATTGTTAAAAGAAATTAATGTGTGTGTCGCGCCCTTTTTTGTATAGATTTTGTATAGACGTTTTTTTGGCGTAGTAATTCTTTGTATCTAAAAAAACAATAAAAATGTTTTCTTGTGATTGAAAGTGCACTGTTTATCTAATTACTTCTACTTAGTTTGAACATTTAATTCTAAATTTCATCACCGGATGGCGCCACTAGTGCGCTGAAATCTTAGAGGACGGGAAAAAGCTGAAATGCGCTATCGAAGTGTTTTTTTTTTGTTTGATTCCGGACAGTACCTACATGTCGAATGGACGATTATTGTAACATCTTATTGGTAATACAATAATTGTTGAATTAGTGGCCCTTTCGTTTTATAAAGGCCACTTCCACTTTTAATTGAAATTAGACATTATTATAACAGAAAATACAGATTTTTTGTGATAAATACCATTTAGGTCGAGAAGTCGAACATCATAGTCTGCCATGCTGGCCCGGAGCGGGTCGGGGATTTTACGTGTTTTGCAAGGTGTTAAGGAGCAGGGGGAAAATCTAACTCAACGTACCTAAACTAAATATTAAAATTATATTTTATACCTAACTAAACAGAACCGAGAGTAGACAATGACATTTGTGACGGTGTGACCTCTTTGTATCGTCATTCCACCTTTTTATTTAAATTTCTTATTTTATTCTCACACTAGTATTTAAATTAAAATTTTGAATTGTTCCATTTTGCCTCGCATTCTGATTTTGTTTTGTTCCATCGTCACTGCCTGCCCGATCGCGGTAGCGTACACATTTCATCCTATCTTATCGAACCTTTTACTAGTTATATTTACACCGTTTACATATTATTGTTAAACCTGAATAAATATCTATAAAATTAGACTTTGAACTTTTGAACTACTAAACTTACTAAGTAAGATGTGTGGAGGCGGCGGAGGCTGCGGAGGCTACTACTACTCTCCAGGCTACTTTACTATTATCCACCAGAACTCCATCCGCGCCTCTACACATTGAACACTAGAAAATGTAAAAAAGTATTTATATCTGTCAGGTCCAACGACACAAGAGTTATGTTACGAACCTTTGTCGACTTGCGAGAGTTTATCACGACGGTGTTAGCGAGAGGAAAGGGTTCTTAACTACGGAGTAACTCAGAATATGTAAATGTTGCTCGATTCGTTAAAACTTGAAATTTATAATGAGATCTAGATTTTCTGATTCTGTTTTATCTTTCGCCGTGCCGAGGTGCGACGGCTGCGGGTGGTACCCATTTGTTTCTTTGGTCGGTTGTTCCTATTTATGGTATGGTTCTTCATATTTCAATAATATAGAATAATAAAATGCATCTCGATATTAGGTTTGCGCTTTTACTTCAAATTAAGTATTATCCTATACTTTTGATTCAATAGCAGTAGAGCTTCTGTGGTCGTTCGTCCAGAGACGTACTGCCACCTTCCCTATTTTTGCCGCCAAGCAATAATGTAACCATTACCGTGTTCAGGTTTTGAAGGGTAAGGGTGCTGGTGAAATTACTGGCACTTGGGATTTGTCAACTTCTGTCGTAGGGTGACGGGCGCTAGTGGTAGTGCCCCTCAGATCTTTGCAATTTAAAGTTCTGAGTGGCACTGTAACTGTTATGGACAGGCGTGTAGTTTACCATCAGGCGCAGATGAGAAGCGAGAATGTCAATAACTGCGACCACTGAGAGAACGTTGTTCTCGATTGCGACGACGTTGGTAGGTATCCCTGTGGCGGCAACGGCTTACGTACTTACGGCCTTAATTTCTCAGTTATGTAAATTGGTTAGTGGTAGGTAATATTATACCGTTCTAAAAAAGGCGAAGGATATTTGGTTAAAGCACGAATCCTGTCAATAAGATGCTAAATTATGTAGGTAGCTACCTACTTTTGTGTTAGAAAGTATTTTTTAATTTGTCGAAATGTAAGACAGAGCCTAATTGTAGTATACCACAAAATAATGTTTTATATAATGAAGTGGTAAAATTTTCCGTCTATCACAACTGCTAAGAACATCATTACAATGTCGCTATTGCACGTTCATTGCATACGTAGCATTCCTCGGTCTGTCGTGCTATTTTTTCGGAAACGGCCTTGAATGAAGAAGATCTGAGCGGTGGTCGGTCGGTGCTCAACGAACACAACGGCTTCCGCTCACGCCAATCGCACTCTTTATTGGTCGTAATCTTTATTGGTCTGGTTTCAGTTCCTTTTTTAAACAGTCCAGAAAACACTCTACCAATTTTAATTACTTTAAGGTTTCACATTGCCCATTCATTATTGTGTATTCAATGTTCTTTCCTATGCATAAACTACAGTGAGACAAATATGGCTCTAGTTTCTGGCCTAGTAGTCGAAGAGTCAAAATATGTTGAATTGTAACCTAACCGCATTGGCTAGGAGTTGTACACGGCAAGTGTTCGATATTTATAGGTACAGAGTGTTAAATAAAATACAGGCATTTTGGATAATGATTCCTTTTTTGTGATATCGTTCGTCGAATTACATTTTGCAGTCAACATTTTTAAAATTTACTTACTCTATTAATTACGAACTAGCTGTCACCGGCTGGCTGGCCGCAGACAGGCTGAAACACAGACTTGTATAGTTGCTACTCGTTGCTCAAAGGTAAAACATGATAGCTACAACTTATTTCAAAAAAATAATTGATTAAAATACTAAAAGTTTAATGTAAATGGCCAATATGGTAATGGGCATTTTCTTTGTTTTTATGTACGAATGTGTTGTATTGTAAGTTTTGTATGAAGCCAGCCAGCATTTGGCCGCGGCGCGCCCCCAGCCGCGACTCGCCGCGGCCGCCACCGCCGCACAGACGAATGACGCACTCTCTTTATGCGTTGAACAGCCAACACTGCATAGACTCACGGCGTTACTGCAGTTGTGTGCAGTACAACATATCGTTTTGTGATTGAATGCCCTCTACGAAGAACACAAAATATTCCTCTTCAGCGTCGTCCGCGCCGAGCAGTGAGACGGCTCAAATGGTATTACAGATCATCTTAAACTTGCAGGTCATCGCCCGTAAGGCCGTCGCATTCCACATTACCTCTAATAACATTAATACGTAACCTCCTATCTAGTCCTCCGTCACCTTAAGAGTCGGGTTAGAATGAAACTGAGCGACATAATGCGTCAGAGAGAGAGAGAAAGAGATATTGTGACATTACTACCCTGCACACCACTCTATTACATCTTGCTTGATTGTAATAACTTGTCTATTTGAACTACTGACAATAATTATGATGTTTTGCGTTTTTGGAATGGATGTTCACTACATTTTCAAAGTTTCAATACATAATTTCTTGCAATGAGTTTATTTTCCTATGCAACTACAATAAACTGTAGCAACAGAACAGGATAAAAGGAAACATGGCGTTGGCCACTAAAGGTATAAGCATTTACAAAGTTATGTGATGTTTTACTATATCAAAGATATCAATAAAATGTGTTTAGTGGTGCGCAGCGCTCATGTTTGAATTTAATTGGTCACGCTAAAATGTGGCAGTTGCGGGGCGTGAGGAGTCGTGCAGGTGGACCTCTAGTCTTCTTCCGAACTGAGTTGGTCTTCATTCATACTTCTGCGGAGCAATAAGTTCAGCTTTATTATTTAAGGTTAGGAGAGCAGTAATTCGTTTTTGGTCAATGCGCACGCTATGCACGTTGCCAAATGTACGACCTTCTGTAGACTGTAGATTTAGACTCAAGAGAAATTAAAAAATGCTGTATCGACAGCTCACATCGTTAGAATATTAAACGATAGGGGCCTCTCTTCCCATTCTTCCATGATGCTAGAGAGGTCCGACCGTTTAGTCTGCGAGGGCTCTTGAAACATTGTGCTTAGTCAAAAGTGACCTGTATATTACCTGTAGCCGAAGAAACTGTGTGGCGCAGGTCGGCAGTGGAAGAGTGTGCTGATACCGGTATAGTCGCAGACGAGCGGTGCGCTGGTCGCAGTCGCAGGCGAGCGCGGGCCTTGCCCCACTAACGTCGACAACGGTTCCGATCGCTTGCCGTAGCGGCTGCCCATGAAGAATCTATGCCACAAATCATTGTAGTAGTAGCAAAGGCCATACGTACCCTAAGGCACAGTTAAACCACTGTCACATTTTGAACTGCAAGTGTGAACACTTGCAAAGGAAGGAGGCGGAATTGTCAACAAATTATTTTATCGTCGCTTATGCAACCAAGTGTTTAAATTGCTTAGTTTTAGAAAGTCCCACGTCGGGCGCCAATTATATGGCCTGTTAAAATTGGCCAGTAAAGCTTCAATTTAAACCAGAGTTGTTGCTCCACTATCGCAATAGCATTTATGGTCTACAATTGAACATAGGCTTCATTGTACTGGATTTGCCTTAGATTACGTGGGTTGCAAAGATGTAAGTAATTTAATTTTTCAAACCATTTATTTCAAACATAACAATACAGCAATGTGTAGTTTACATTAACAAAATGCAAAATCTCATTAAGTCTAAACGACTACAAAAAAGAAAACGAAAGGCTAAGCGGTTTTCTTATCGTGAGTAGGTACTGCACTACTGCCCTAATACGTACATTGTGTGCACAGTGCACCCGAAGATTTATTAATGCCCAGGGAGACGTCGCTCACCTTCTCGTAATTTAACATTCTATGACACTCTCGTGAATATAATTGTGTTACTTGCCTGTCGTTGCGGGGCGAGAGGAGGCGCGGCGGGGAGCGGCCGTATCGCGAGCCCATCACGAACGGCGCGGGCGCCACTGCACAACAACAGACCCGTGTTTTCACATGTCATTGTTTTGTTATAGGTCGACTACTGCCTCCGTAACGTTTGTATCACGATGTCGCTTGTTTGCCACGCGCAGATCCCGGGTTTGGGTGGAATTTATGGTTGTCAATGTGCATAGGCCATGGCACCGCGACACAGGGTGTCCCGGGCTATCATTGTATACGTTATTTATTATTAATTATGGGCAAGTGAAGAGCAACGAATTTCGGAAGTACCGTTCGAAGTATTTTCTGGTCGTATACAGTTAAACATAAAGGTTTCAAAATAATGTTTGAAGATCAAAAAAAGTTTGTTAAAGATCAAAAAGACAGTCAGATTTTATTCGAATAAATTACAATGTAGACTTAATTCTTATGAATATTTTAGAGTTAAGGATAAAAATGCACTTCGTTACTTTAATAAAGAAGGTGGCTTTACCTTAACTTAATTACTTTGAGTAATTAAATGTTTGGACTGCGGTTGTGTGTACTCACATTCGGCTTTCTTTGAGGCGTCGACGGAGGTGACGGCGACGAGGGCTGCGCATGCGCATAGCATGAGTGTCACCGCGCTCCCCGTATCGCGCTTCGCGGAGATGGACATCGTGTATGTTAGGACTTCGTATCTGATACGGTTAAAAAAGAACGAGTAAATAAATCGTTATTACTCTTATTATAAAACCAACAAGGATTTTGATAAATGGTGAATCGGTTATTGAAATGAAGCTCATCGGGAGCACGGGTTTGTTGTTTGATTGAAATATTGTCCATGTTTCTTTTTTATGTTATCAAGTGTCAGGACGACAGGAGTCGTGCGCTTGGCACTTGGCGCTTGGTGCTTGGAGTAAACGACTTGTGCACCCATAACAGGTGCAGTGCCATTCTGACCTTTACGACGCCAGCATCTGAGAGGTTCCACCACTGCGTTCGTTACCTAGAGACATACAGCTAACTAGTCCTATGTGCTCGTACTTTCAACAGCACCCTTACCGTTCAAAACTACAATGCAGTAATTGATGGTGAGCACAACGTATTTCTGTCGCCAACATTGTTGCTCTGTACACAGTAATCAGTAATGTCATTCTATTTTTTTTTTGTAAACAGTGAAAATAGCTTTTAGAATATTGTCTTAACATATCACAAAATATCATGAATGTATTGTAGTAGAGAAATTAAAATTATATTAACTAGGTGTGTTTGACGGGAGGCTGCACGTTATCGGATGGCCGAATGTCGTGATTCTATATGTTTCTGTTGGTTTAGATGTAATTTCGATATATGTATAAAAGGGCAACACCGGTATCGTGTGTTATTTTTTCCGGCGGTTTAGGGGCTAATCGTTTGTTCGGGCCCGTTTTGAAGACACGTGTTTTGTTGATAATAATTGTGATGATGAATAAAGTTACGTTTTCCTGTAAACTAATTAACGTTGTTTTCATTACAGACCGCAGCAACGTTTACGCAAGGTTCCACTGCTACTACAATTAATAAATGATTAATAATAATTAACCCAACCCATTACCAATATGAAACTCCCCAATTCCACAAACAGATATCATCGTCGGGCGATGCTCTGCCCGTCTTGTCTAAACCAAAGAAGACGTAGAAAAAATACAACGGCTAGAAAAATCTTGCGTAAGATTTATTTCTCCGGCTCCTCTGCATTTTATCGTCGTCTTAGATTGAAAACCTCGCATACGCGTTCATTTTTACTGATTTTTGTAGATGAAAAAATTATCAACTTCTTGCTCAAATATATGTATTGTTAAAGTGATGTAGTATCTGAAAGAGGTATAATGTAACTAACTAAATGCTAACTACGAACATTATTGCGTTTGCTACATTTTATACCACATTTTCATCTCCGTCCCCAAAAATTACATAGAAACCACATACGTGTTATACACTCAGACGTCGCTATGTAACATCACACCGAACGTAAATACGTTTTAAATATGAACGATTGGAGCAAATTGAAGCTATGTCATTTCACTTAATTTGTAGTGTGTAGCAGACAATTATGCTACCAGGTTAGGCGAATGTGCGTTGGCAAAACAATAGTTGTGTTTTTTGTTTAATTCCCACTGCATGTAATACATTTAAGGACTGGGCGCGTGAGCTGGATGCGTGCGCTGACACGTGCTGCTGCACTCCCAGGTACAAATAGGACATTAAGAAAAAGAACTCAACTCGAAAAGGAACGCAGCAATTGCAATCAACTACAACACTTACTATTACCTTTTACTTAGGATTTGTGTATGGACCTATTGCGTTGGTAAGTAAAGTTTTATTTAATTACTGTAAGGTATTTCCGAAGTAATTCAGTTTGTATTCAGCGCGTATGCCCGTTTCAATTCGTTAACGCAATCGCCAAAACTTCACCCTTCGTCATAAACAAAATGCATTTAACAATGTACATAACAAGGGGTACAATTTACACCCGTGTCTCTAATCAGTACATGTACCACACCCGTTTAGTTTCTAATCACGTCGCGTCGTCGACGTTACGTTTGTCATGTAGTTCGAAGTCGATAATGTATTCCCAATTACCTAACGAGTTACGCGTATCCGATATTAATAACAACGTTATTTTGTGCGGTATTCAAACACAAAATCTTAGAGGACGAAAAAAAATAAAACCAAAACAGTAAACTGAAAGTGCGCATTGCAAAGGCAAGTTCTGGTTTTTGGACGTTTACACCTACTTGACCACATGAAGGCGTCGCCACAGTAAACGTGTTGGTTACCTTGATCGTGTCCCAACATATTTATTGGCTCGCCGAGTTTAATGCCAGGGATTACGAAAAGAGCTAAATAATATAATTGCCATAGAATACAAATTAAGACCGGTAAATCAGCATTCCAATGTACAATAAACAATTTGTGTTTTAAATATAGTTTCCAGGCTGGTTTATACGGAAGTCCGGCTTGATTGTTTACAACTTCTCTGTTACGAGGGAAGTGGACAGAGCTCACTTAACCGTTGTTTGTTTACTTTTGCAATAGCAGCTACGTTTAATTTTCTTATATTTAGTACCATTTGTTAGTACCACCAATGGCCTAGTCACACTTCATTGTATCGCTAGTTACCTTCATTGGGTGGAAGTCATAAAATTGCACTCCGTCGCGCCGGTCGTTTGAGAACAGTCCCCTGACGCACGGCACTTGCGGAGAAAAACCCGCGTATCCTCAGACCCATATCCTATAGGCGTCTGCCCGCTACTTTCAGACTTGACCCGTCTGACAAAGCATTTAGGCACCAGCTGAAAGACCTTGTCTTGAAAAACCCTTTATACGCTGTAAATGAATTTACGGGCCTTAAAATGTATACACTTTTGTAGTATTTCCTTCTAATTCCTCGGGTCGTGTATGTCAGCTTCAACTTTGACGATGCTTGACGAAGAATAATATTTGTTGTATAATGTAATGACAAAAATGTATTATTAATGAATTGTTAATTTTATAATTATCGTGCATTTTGAATTTTATAATTTTCGTTTTTGTTCGACGATCTCAATATAATTTCTTATACTTTGACATGTAGTGAAATTTATACTGTAATATTATATTTGAGAAATAAATAATATTATCTATTTACAGATGACATTCAGATGAAAAATGTTTTTTCGACTGTGACTACAGGAGAATATACATTTGAAGACTCGTGCCCAGCAGCGGGAAGTTATCTGATTAGCATGTTGCAATGAAAACGTGAAGTATGAACGAAGTTCATAAGAAAACTTAGCTTTGAAAACGCCGTAGCCGGAAGCCGCAATATCCTCATTTGCCGCATTGCCGCAGGAAATCAGTGCACAGGAAGCTTAATTATGTTGTTTTGTGCTACTACGGCGCTACGCCGCTGACTACGAAAATGCAGCTGTGCAACATTTATAGATGAAAAAACTTTTGACTTTTTAGTCTTGTTTTGTATTCTTCTTGATCAATGCTTATCTCTTCTGTGCAAGAGCGCCTGCGCCACAGAGTCTTTTCGAAGCATGTGCACTTTGGATTTTACTTATGATAATTTGCTTTGAAACACCGCGAGGACGCCTGCTGCAATATAGGCATTGTCAATAAATGCCAATTCACGTTTCCACGTACATGTCCAATTGCTTGTTTTTGTTTTATGGGACTATTCGTTTGATACAAACAACAAAATTGTCTGCTACTCAACATTAATAGATGATTTGTTTTTATTTAAACATAGTCCCAAACAGTTAGGGTATGGTGAGCTCTACCTAATACAGGTCTAATTGTCTCGCAGGAACTCCATTCTCTCACAAGGGTTACACCATTTAATATAGTTAGTATTATTTTAATGTAAGACCTACTGTTAGGTGTCGATATAGTAAATCATTATTACATTACTGTCATGGGCAGGCGCGCAGCTTACTACCATTTGACTGGTTCGTTCCGTCACCTGATACTATATAAAAAATATGATAAAGTTTTTTTCATAAGTAACAACGTCATTTTTTTTAAAAAGCTCTAAACCTTATTTTTTATTTGCCTGGCTGACATTACAGACACCCCACGCCATCGGGCGCGCAATTAACCAAGCATTCACTTTGAAATTGTCGAAATACAATAAAAAAAGAAACATAACGACACCTCTTACACCGTTATTGCTTTTAGATGACTGCTGTCGGCTAAAAAGAACGGCTTATATTTTGGTATACACAAGGACACATTGTGACGCCTCGAAAGTTATGTTGCACCCGCGATTTGTGAGCTGCACGTTGCGGGCCAAGGTCAATGCCCGGAATAATCCTCTTCATTTGAGTTTACTCAAACTCAAATACAAATGCGATTTTATTTAGATAGATAGATAGATAAGATAGATAACACGTTTATTCAGCACAAATACAAACAGAAACAAAACATTTACAATCACTTCACAGAGTATAATATAAAAGCACATAGAACATTCATTATTAATTTTATACACATTTATATAAAACATATACTGCGAGAAAAACAAATACTGTGAGAAAAACAAACAAATACTATAAGAACTGATAAAATTTTAATGTACCTATGACTACAGTTTGTGCTGAAATGGCCCTGACTCAGCATAAATACTGTAGACCGAGAGAAGTCAAACAGTGCTGATTTTCTGCCAGTACCATACGGTGAGCGATCGCAGCCCAGTAAGCCATGACACCAAAGTGCATCACACGCAAATATATATACCTAACACTAAATACTATACATATATATATATCAAGCAAAAGTGTAAGACGTAAAGCATACAATGTAAATAGTGTAAGTAATGAAGGTAAGTAATGTAAATAATAATGTAAGTTTACAAACATAAATTAAATTATAACAATAGCCACCAAATATGAGTATGTATAGATAAGGAAATTTAGGTTTACAGATATCAAACGCATTTATTAGGGAAATATAATATTTAATTATCATTTATTGAAATGGCGAGAAGTCTTCAACTCGCATCGAGTGTGGTGGACTTCGTGAACCATCTCCTTAGAAGAGTGGTTGAGTGTTCCTATCAATTATTTTAACGAAGTACCGTAACTGTTGTCAGTTGTCGAAATTCGAAGATCCAATTTTGAACTAGTTATTTGAAATTTTAAGCCGAGTTTTATCCAAATTACAATAAAAATTGTTATTAAGTGGTCAATCGGTACAGATGCAACTGCAACTTGTTTCCATTCTACTTTTTAATCAACTTGAAAAAAGAGAAGGAACTCATAAAATGAAATTATAAAAGGTATTATGTATGTACATAATTACATATTAGGTACGTGCATGCCACCTCACTAATTAGAACGATGGTAGTAGGAGTATTGAACGGTGGACCTTTTAATTGAGAAAAAACTGTTCTCCCTCTTCTGTGACATAAAGCTCTCCCCTTGGGGCAGACCCGTGCCCAGCAGTGGGATGTAGAATGTATTTACGTTGCTGACCCAGTATATCTGCGTATTTTGTGAAAGATAATTCATTCATTTCAAAGATTGACTTCGTGGTTTTCTGTTAGGAGTTTCTTGTACCTCACGGGGGTACGTACAATGTCCTACAACAACCACTGTTTTAATTAAATGGAAGCTGTGTTGAACAAACCCACATGTAATGTTTCTCACACTGTATGTATAACCGTATCGGCCCTGGACGAAGAACTCGGGTTCGTTTCCCGGTAGGGCCAATTTGGGAAACTTTTTCTGGTTTGGGTGTTTTGGATATTATTTCGTTGCTAAAGAATTCGTTGCATAGGGAATTTTCTAATTTTAGGACAGAAAATATAAATGTGTTTGTTCGGCAAATTGCTATTATTAATTATTCAAAGGCAATCGTTTGCACGCGGATGGGTAAGATTTAATTCTTGAAAAATATATTCATAAAAATAAATAGAATATTTAGAACTTTTATGTTTTTTTTTCAAAATCGAGTGTGATGTTTTTATGCCCCGTCACACAAGGTTAAATTGAATAATTCACTTGCAGTTACGAAAGGCACTCACCTGGTGTATGAAGTGAAGAGCTCCAGCAGTCCAATGGCAGCTCCGCGCTCGCCGCGGGCTATTTATGCAGGCTCCTGACTGTGGGGGAGGGGGAACCGACCCACGCGGTGCCTTTCGAGCGAAGCAACTGATAAGATGACCAGGGGAGGAGAGCAGGGAAATGCAGTATAACGTCTTATTTCGAATAATGTTTCGTGTTTGTTATAACCAAAATCTAGCACTAACAATACATTGATCACTGAAGGACCCGCAACTTTTATACGCGAATAAATTTGTTAATTTAAAAAAATACGTTTTTGAAATGTAACATTTGTCAAGCAAGCTTTCATGGTGTTGGCAACACTAAATAAAAAGTCAGACTGACTGGGACGAGCGCCCGGCTTCAATATTTGATGACATCTCAGTGAAGATCGGAGAAGATTTTATATACAGCTTTAATGTCTAGTAAATCGGACAGTTTGTATAGAATCAAAAACGTTATATCTGGTAAATAAAAAACATTTTAAACCTTCCTAAATCCTTCTCTAGGTCCTTCTAGGTCTAGGTCCGATAGTGAAATGTAGAACAATCGCGAAAACCTAAGAACTTGAAACGTATATGGGTATATATCGAAGTTGACCATCTCATTTCTCTACGCTGTGCTCACTGTCGAATTTATTAAGTTGTAGCTCTCGACACTCGAAGCTTCCTTTATGTGTAGGCAGCTCTATGCGCTGCTTCGCCGCTGGCGTAGCGCCTCGTAGCTAACTGCTACGCGGTGAAGGGCTACACGGATATTGAAATCTATATTAACGTATCGAGTATAGGTTCTATACATTTTTGAGAAATATTACATTTATAAATGATGAGAATGAGTTGCATTGGACATAAAGGCGCGATACTGGATGAACTTAAAAACTGTGCTCAGGGTTTTATACTCAAATTTATTATTTTCCAATTTTATAGAAATTAAGTTTTCTCGTGTGTCTGTACAAAAAGCCCTAAAAATAAACAAATGTGGATAGCGACTTCCGAGGACTTACCTCCTCGATAAGTCGCGGCGACGGCTCGGTGAGCGTTTTTGGGATTCAAAAGGCAACTGTGTCCTCCTCGCACTGTTTAGAGGAATTTACTTTCATCATGAACAGTAAAGTTGGAACTTTATGATTTTATCTGAAGTTTTGCGCAAACTCGTAATTCATATGCAGTTTGGATAGTATGGGTGAAACACACTTTTAGTGTTCATACATCACATTTTGACATGACTCTGGTGGAGCAAGCTGTCTCTTATACGAGTTAGCTTTCCAGCGTAGACGCAGAGCGAACGGTGCCGGCTCGTCATCTCGCCGCGATATTAAGCAACGCAGTCGGTACCATGTCGGGATCGCTACACGCTACAGACAGTGCGCCAGCTGCTCGTCGACACTGGCGCCAAGCGCATTTAGTTTATGAAAATGGAAGCCGAAACAGCATCCTGAACGCATTTCACATCACACACACACACACACACACACACACACACACACACACACACACTTAAATCAATTTAATTTAAGAGATATTACCATTGACTTAGATATTACCCATAGAAATGTATTTTGAAGTTAAATATAATTTCAATTGAACCGCGCATCTTTTTGCGTTGAAGTTACCAAGAACCAAAAGTGTTTCATGTTGCTTCAAGGAAAGGATAATCGATCTGCAGGGGCTGCAATGCCCCGGGCCACTAAAATACTGCTGCGAAGAGTTCTTGTTTCTCGTCAATATTTTTCTTTGTTCATAAATTAGCATTTACCAGACTTTTACCTTCTAACCGTACTCGGCGTATTGCGCCCAGTATTGTAGCGCGTCAGCCAAGGTCGCTGATAAACGTGGCGACGCACAGTATCTCGTCTAGTACAAGCTAGCGGGACAAAATTCATGATGTAATTTCCAGAAATTAGTGTTAACGACTTGTAAATAACCCTTCACAGGTACCGAATTCCAAGAACTAATTAGGTCATACCTCATTACGGTACTTTATTGGGTGTCAATGGTAAGTAATTTGGGAGTTCGATTTGCATTTATAAATCAGTTGCATTTTTAGCACACTTGTGACATCTCTTAAAATTGGTAGCAAAGTGAAACGTTGTTTTTTGTGATGGCATATTCTGTTGACGGTATGTACACTATTATCACGTATTTTTTCAAAAAAATCATGTATATTTTTGGTGCAATATGAGTTTCAATATCTTTAAAAAAATCCTGCATATTTCTCCTTAATTGGTAACTTTAAAGGACTGCACCTTTTTTTATTTAAATACATAAATCTAGATGCTTCTGTATATTATATTTACAACTTTCAGGCATAGATTCATATATATTTCAGAGCCCGAATAGTCCCGCAAGTAAATTATTGTCCTTTTTTCAGAATGTGTCATTACTGTGACCAAATTGGAGTTTTTCGAAGAATGGTTGAGACATTAGAAAAATGCAAGAAACAGTCGCAATTTTGATTATATATGTGAGAAACATAATATCACTAATGCTTCTGATGAATCACTGAAAAACCTGATGATAAAAATCACAAGTCTTTCCGCGATACTAAATGAAAAGTGGACTTCATCTAAATCTAATAAAGAAGTGTTTTTAAGCAAACATAAAAATTGGTTCGAGGCTTCGGGAATAGTAATAAATGTATGTACACACCAGCCGCAGCCTTCAACATCATCAGGACTTGGGTCTGTAGGCAGACCCAAAAAATCCTTTGACGATTCATCGCTGAAAACGAAGAAACGTAGAGTAGAAGATCTTTTAGAAATTCGGAGTGCAAGTGAGCTTACTATAGCCGCGGAATTAGCTACTAGGAAGGAAGGGCACCGAAGTGTTGCTAAAAAAATTAAAGAAATCGGTGAAAGTCCAAAAAATAATAAGTGTTATGAACAAAGTAGGCAGTTAACTCCGGGCGAAGCGTTAGCTTATACGTAGACTCCAAGTCTACTTGTCACTCATATAAGCAAACTAGGAAGTGGTCAATAAAGGCGGGACATCAAGTGTATCCATCATTCTACAGTTTAGGTAAATCCAAAGCTTCTTGTTGTCCTTCTGATGAACACATTACTGTGACTAAATCTCGAGCTGAAATTAAACTTATAATTAAACTAATTAAACGTATACGTTGGTAAGCAAATGGGGTTATTATGGAAGTTCGGGGCATAGTACTTATTAGCAGAGGATTGAGAACACCAGCGCTACAGACGAATTTCTGTGTGTATACTCCTTTGTCCCCTTGAGACTTCATGACGGAGAAACTGTGATTTGGCAGAATCCACGACCTTCTTCAACCTTACATTGCCGTCCTATCAGGTTTATTTTTGCCAAGGAGACAAATGAGTTTACGAAAGAAGAAACTACTAAAATTTTACATGAAATAAGTCAGCTTCTTCCAACATTATGTAACGTTGATGGATCTCAAATCTTTGTTACACTCGACTTATTGTTGACGATGACTGATGGTAAAGTGTGTAACGCTTTAGCGGACACACGTTCAACACAAAAGTGTTATATTTGCGGTGCTACTCCGTCTACTATGAACGAGAAGTCGAGGAACTATCCCAGCAACAAAGAGCGCTATGAATTTGGTTTCATCTACTTTACATGCATGAATCCTCACTTTTGAATGTATGCTTCACATTAGCTCGTTCGATCGTTTAGAAATAAAAAAGTGGCAAAGTCAGAGGAGGCAACGATGAAGCTGTAATAAAGCACCGCTCACTATAGATCCAAAAAATGTTTAAAGATCGTATGGGTCTTATAGTGGATAAACCAAAACCTGGTTATGGCAACTCGAATGATGGAAACACAGCACGTAGATTTTTTTTGATGCTGAATTGAGTAGCGAAATAACAAGATTGGACGGAAGTCTTATTAAAAGATTTCATGTAATTTTAAGAACTTTGTCACCGGGATACGACATAAATTATTTAGAATTCGAAAAGTTTTGCGTTGAAACAAGAAAATTATACCTTGATCTGTATTCGTGGTACTCCATGCCCGTTAGTGTGCATAAGATTCTTGTACACAGTACGGAAGTAATTAAATCTTGCCTTCTTCCTATTGGTCAGCTTCCCGAAGAAGCCCAGGAGGCAAGAAATAAAGATTGCCGTAGATTCCGTGAGCGACACACTAGGAAGCGGTCACGTATTGCCATGAATACAGATCTTTTGAGAATTCTCCTAATTACGTCCGATCCTGTAATCAACACTTAGAGAGTTACAGGGAAAGAAGATTACTGCTTTGCCAGCGGAGGTTCTGCAGTTGATTATCCCACCTTCCTTACCATCCCAGTTATCATCAGTTCGCGTAATTGATGAGGAGGATTACGTGTTGTCAGTCTCTACCGGAGAGTAATGATGAGGAATCATCTAAAGATGAGCATTAAATATTTTTGTAATGTCTTTACATTTAGATAAATGAGGTCTTGTTTATTATTGTTATCAATTAATTAAATAATTGGTGACCTTACGTGACAGGTGGTGAGGCCGTCACCGTTGTAGGGTCTACACACATTACAGTACACAGGTTTCCACTTTTTTTTTAGCTTAAAATAGCATAATAGACCTGCAATATACACAAACAATTAAAATAACTCAAAAAATAATTTTGTCCCGCTAGCCTGTACTAGACGAGACACTGTGCGACGATTTCTACGTTGTTGCCCGAAAGCGACGCGCTGCGCTTTTCAGTCGCCTTTTGCTTTGGGGTACTCATAGACTCTTTGTCCTGAAGAAACGTGCGGCCAGGGCAATTTACGGCCTCACGGTGTCTTTGCGAGATAAGTTTCAAAAAATAACGTTCTTACATTAGCGTCACAGTACAATTATGAAAATGTAATTTATGTTAAGAAGAGCAATAATTTTAATGGAAAATAGTAACAAACATAAGTCAAAGTGAAAGTCAAATAATCATTTATTCCTTATGTAACATTTTTACACTTGAAAACGTCATTTTTTAAGCTACTGCTCGTTCACTATGCTGACCTCTATGAGAAGAACAAGCAAGAAACTCTAGGGATTGCTCTTTTCAAATAAACTTAAATGCTATACATTTTGAATCATATTTTTGTGGAATTTAGACTCACGTTGTCTTTCCATACATCTTTATCTAACAATTTTGTAATAGGACTTTTCAAAACTAACTTTCGTACTTTCCAGCTAGCCAGTCTGTTTTATTGTATATTTTTGGTATTACATATTTATTAGTTATTTTTCCATAATTATTGTTAACTTTACATTTATTTAATTTCCTTTCTCTAACTCTTTTTGTGTTATACCTGTTATATACCAATAATTTAAATAAATAAATTAAAAAAATAAATTTTAAATAAATAAATAAATAAATAAATTTATCCTCACTCTTATAATAATTTTCAAGGGCTGTCACAAAGTTTAGTTTTTCGTCAACTGGCAATATTTTATATATTTTAAATAAATTTGCAAATTCGTCTTTATATTTTTTCTTGGTGCTTTTATTTACCAAGAATTTTAAAATTTGCCAAAACTTTGTACTAAAGGTTATATTATGATAAATGTATACACAATCGTTTATTTACAAAGAGCAACCCCTAGAGTTTCTTGTTCATTCTTGTCAGGGGAATCTTAGGGGAGCCTTACGAATGAGCGGCGGAGTTTAATCAATATGGTGATTTCATGTGTCATTTGCGTGACTGACTAAGTAAGACTAGCGAATACTATTTTCATTTGAATTTCTCAGAACGAACGGCATCTTTATATGTTTAAGGTACTCCAAAAAATGGAGTTTTTCAGTGTGATGGACAATTTTATATTTCTTGACAAAATAGTCCATTTCAACTTGGTCCGTCAATAATGAATCTGAGCTAATATGCGGGATTTATGTGATGTAAGTAGTATTTTTTATATAGAAGAAAAAGGTATTTCTTCAAATTTCGTCAATCAAGCTTAAAATGCACGGAAGAGGCCATCAGCTAGTTTATAATAAAAGGGCTGTAGTTAACGTTGTAGTCATTTGAGGAAAGTCTAATAAAAAAAGTTATTAAAATCGCTAACAATTCTTACGAGTTGTTTCGCATCACGATCATGATTTCGCATCACGTAAATATTGCGTCCTGATGAGCCATGTTTATACGTTTAATGATAATTATTTCCAGTTACTCTGACGCTTGTGAATGCTTGTGAAATGTTGCCTCAATATATCTCCGCCAAACAGTTCGTTTTGAAACACTCATAATTTCTGCCAAAGAAATCAACGGGATAATGGGTTTATCAACTAGGTGCGACTCTAATCGTGTGATATAGTCGTGCATTTATCGCGAAGGTACGCCTGGGGCCCCACCACAACCTCTTAAAACAGTATTACTTTAACCTTACATTGACTTTTCGTACCATGACGAGCTTAAAGTAAGCTTATTATAATGTTAAAAGAATGATGTTTTATTGGCAGCTTTGTGATTATTCATTCACTCAGTTCGTACTATGACGCGACGTTAATCTTAAAATAGTTACACGGATGCCTAAATATTGTCTAAATATTGATTTGTACTTAATGATAAAAAATTAAGTTGAACATATTTATTTACGTATATCTCTTCAATATTTGGTTTATTTTCTATTTAATAGCACACAGGAAAAAATTTCTCGTTAAATAAAAATACGCGATGTTTATTTCCTAAAATTAAGACGGCGATATCTATATGCTCCTTGGCGACACTTACTGCTGATACTAGACTATGATTCCGAATTGACAACGTGACAATCAAGACTCAATTTATTTATTTTTTTCATGAATAATTGAAAACACCGTAATTTTAATAGATTTCATTGCGTGGTATTTGGACCTATCGAGGGCTTTGTGAGACCAGTTTGCAGCGTGAAGTAACAGACTTGTTTAGGTATTGCTACAATAACCAAAGCAACTTAGTGCTATCTCGGACTGTTATGGATTGGAATGCGGGGTGAGGCAGGAGCGGGGGCTGAGCTCGCCCAAGCTTGTCAATCTATATATGAATAGACTCGCTGACGAGCTGAGCAGCTCTATGGTCGGATGTCATATTGACGGAGTCTGTGTTAATAATATAAGTTACGCTGACGACATGGTGCTGCTCAGCCCATCGATTAGAGCACTTATGTCTTTGTTGCAAATTTGTGAGTCATACGCTCATACGCCCATGGACTCAGGTACAATGTTTTGAAGAGCGAGCTGATGGTTTTTAAGGCAGGTACTAAATGTTACAATATTATGCCTAATGTAACACTTTGCGGTGCTCCTTTGAAAGTAGTTTCGAGGTTTAAGTACTTGGGTCACTGGATCACGGATGACCTTTCTGACAACGTCGACATCGAGAGGGAGCGTAGGTCGTTGGTTGTAATATGTCGGCCCGCAGGTTTCGCGCTGCACAAGACAAATAAAGATTACACTTTTTAAAGCTTATTGTCAATCTTTTTATACCTGCAGTCTGTGGGTCATCTATACGCGAAGGACATACAACGGCCTGCGCGTACAATACAACAATGCGTTCCGGGTGTTGCTGGGGCTGCCGCGCTACTGCAGCGCCTCGGGTATGTTCGCGGAAGCGGGGAACCACGGACGGGTTTGTAGCCATCATGCGCAAGAGGTGCGCCACGACTCGTCGATGTTCGCTCATTGGATGCGACTGCATACCGCCGTTGCATAGTATTCTTAGTTCTTATTGATTTTATGTTGCTGTGTATGTATTGTGTAACTAACCCTTAGGCTTAAGCATTTTCTAATCTTACTAACAATCCATTGACCTGGGGGTCTACTCTCGATCTCCGTCCGACATCCGTCCGAAACAATTACTGCCAAATAAGCAATACTTGACCAAATGAAAAGACGCGTGATGCGAATGAAGCTTCATACTGGATACTTGTCTTTTAATTTTGTCGAATATTACTTATTTGACAGTAATTGTTTCGGACGGATGTCGGATGGAGATCGAGAGTAGCTCCCCTGGTTCCGAAATAAATGATTATTATTATTATATACTTTTGTTTTTTTTGCAGTTAAAATTCTCAGAATGTAAATAATATTAAGTACATTAGCATTATACTACGATAGGACAATTCGGAACATAAAAAAACAAAGAGGTGGCAATATACAGTTCATATAGCGTTATTTCTTTGCTATTTTTTTCGCAGCGCACACAACCGCTTTAACGGTGTAATGGGCGCTTGATGAGGAGGTTTCGGGTTCGATCTCGATTTAGGCCAATTATTTAGGAAATTAACATTTCTAAGTCAGTATGGCAACCATATCGAAAAATGACTAAAATAATTTTGACCGCAAATTATTATTAAACACCCACAGAGCAATTTTTTTCTATCGCCTACGAACGCTTATATGGCGGCAATGTTTGAAAATGGCGAAAAACCGATATCGAAAAAACAAATTTTTGTCTTTGTTTGTGTTTTATCCCTGTTGTTCTATCTTTTTATTTTTTAACTTGCTCTGATTCGGCTGATAATTGGCATGTGGAGGCTTCTAGAAGTGCCGGATAATAATTGTGCTCAAAATAAGTTTTTCGCCATTTTAAAATATGGCTGCCATACAAGCGTTTTTTGGAGGCAGAAGAAAATTTGGTTTGATCGCCTTGAAAATTGGCATGTGGGAGTCTCTATGAGTGCTTAATAATAATTTATGATCAACATTACTTTTTCGCCATTATTCAACTGAAAATCGGCATGTGGGGTCTCTGTAGGTGTTTGATAATAATTTGTGGTCAAAATTTATTTTTGGCCATTTTTCACTTTGGCTGCCATACACACATTTTTGGCCGTAGATAAAAATTTCTTCTAATTCGACTGAAAAGGGCATGGATTCAACTATAATTTGAGGTAAAAATTTTGTTTCCGCCGTTTTTCGATATAGCCGCCATACAAGTGTTCTTTTTTTATGTAAATGGCTGTTGAAAAAAATTAGCTTTGCTCGGGTTGAAAATCGGCACGAGAATATATCTAGGATTGTCTGATAATAATTAGTGGTTAAAATATAATTGTAAGTCAATGTTAAAATGTAAGTAAAGAGCTATTTTTTTAAACAAAGTCATAAGTGCCGAGGCCGTAGGCGGAGGTTCGCGGAGGGCAAGGCCCGAAGCGTCCGCACGCCATCGTACGGGGGAATATACGGGGCGTAATAGATTACGACTACAAGATTTCACAATTGTAAAAAAGTAAGGCATACTTACCGATGCGGTGGAAATGAGATACTTATAGCGTTGTTGTATCTCGACCGTCTCTCTGTTAAATTCCTTCTTTTTGGAAGTTATGTCAAAGAGGGGAAAAAATGCCAAGCTTCTGCCGAATTTCCTGCACTATGAATAGCAAAATGACGATATGAGGGCAATACCGAGAATACTCAGACCATAACCAACTTAGAAATGTTCGTTTCCACCACCTCAACAAGCACTTGTAGTACTAACTGCTGAGTATGAGCACTGCCCGTAATCTGAACTCGATCACGCGCCGCAGGCCGAGCCCGACCCCACCGAAACTGTGAGTGGTAAGCAACATTGACATCGGCACACGGGTGTTTCTTCACAACGTCATCGTCGGGTGTTAGCAAGTATGCAGCGCCGGCGGTATAGTTTGGCAGCTCGCTCGTCGGAAACTGCAGCGTTGACATTGTATTTGTGGTTAATCTGGCGCACCGGCGACGCGGAGGACTCTGCGAGTAACATTCATGCGACAAATCATACAACGGCGATCTTCGCCCACTTCGTTCGCTTCAAGTGCTGGCCTTCACTTGAATATTTTTTCCTTTATTTACTAATAAAATCACGGTATAAGCTTTATGCCTAATTTGTTAAATAAACACGACCTTTTATGTTTGTTACTCGGCAGGCCCATTCTAACACTTACAAAGAGATAGTGGTAGCGGTAACCATAATTTTAGCATGCATCGGTTTAGCTCATCCGATGAATGCTGAGAATTGCTGGTGGTGGAGTTTTGTTCTACATTTTGTCTTCATCTAACTTGGAACATTCACATTCTCGATCATAGTGTGCAGTGATGAATACTTTTAAAAATACGTAAAAACATTTAAATACTTAAAACCTTTGCCTGAAAAAATTAAACTGGGATTCACAAAACATAGTGAATTTGATTCCGCCTCAATCATTGCAGTTTCTGGCGAATTTATCACAGAGGTTTTTTAATTATCCCTAACAACGACGGTTCAATACTGAGTATTTTAAATTCTATTTGAATGGTTGTATGGGTCATAAGATAAGTATTGTAAGGGTGTGGATCAAAAAATGTGGATACAAAGACTACTTGGGTAATAAGTATGTACAACATACCCCTTTGGGGTGAAGCAATTAATTATTGTTAAAGAAAATATTTAAATTGTAAAATAATAATAATTAGGAACAAATATATATAGCATCTTATAATTAATATTTATAGACTTTAGATCAATAAATACTCTTAAAATTGCATATCACAAATTGAACTATTTGGGCTTATAGGAGAGTTCATGAAGTCTCCCACACTGTAGTAACATCCATTTAATGATGCGTAGGCACTTCTTTTGGATGATAAAAAGATCATTTGCTCCGGTGCTATGGCCCCACATAATAACGCCGCAGCGTAGCCACGCATAGGCATATGCATAGTACGCGGAGAGTGCACATTCGCGTTTGGTGTTGGCTTTTTGAACGGTTAGTGCGCAAATAAACTTGGATAATTTATTGGTCATTTCAATACGGTTTTTCCAATTTAAATGTGAATTTAATGTTATTCCTAATAGTGTAAAATGTGTTGTTTCTTCTATATTGAGACTCTTTGCAATTTTATTCAAATCTAATGATGCTCTTGTGTGGTCGAAATGAAATTATTTTGGTTTTTTTTTGCAATTTATATCTAGATTGTGTTTCAAAAGCCAATGCTTCACAATATTAAAAGAATTGTAATGTTGGTAATACTATTGTTGTCTATGTTTTTACATTAAATAATAATGATACATCATCGGAAAACATCATTATGTGTAATACATAATGTGTTTGAAACTTTAGGTAGGTAGGTTTCATTGAAAAAGACTAAAAACAGGATAAATCCTATAACGCTGCCTTGTGGGACGGAGTAGTTAGTTGTGACCACTTCTGACAGTATATTCCGCAGCTCGCCGGTGTTATCATCAAGGTGGACTACTTGGACGCATTGCTTACGGTCGATAGGTAGGATTTGATACATTTAAGAGCTTCGCCCCTTATGTCTTCTCCGTGCAGCTTGTTGAGTAGGATTGAATGTGAAACTCTGTCATATATGCTTTGGACATGTCGAGAATAATTCCGATTGCATAGTGTTTGCTATTGATGTGGGTCAGAGTCTCTTGCACAAATTTGAGTACTGCCTCTGACGTAGATCGTTTTTTCCTAAACCCGTATTGATTGTCATCGACCATATTACATTTTACTAAGAAATTGTACACTCGGCTAGTCATACATTTTTCAAATCGTTTAGATACAACAGGAAAAAGTGCTATTGGCTTTTTTTTGTTTTGTTTTATTGTTATATTTATTTGTTTTATTGTTGGCTAGGGTCATCAGTTTTGGTGCCTTTTTATTGGGCTTGTATCAAAGAAAACAATAAAAACACAACGGTCCATAGGTTTTAAGTTAGTTTAGTTTTCTTTTGTAATACAATAAGAAAAATATATAATATAAAATCGGATCGGGCATACCTGTGTCGTCACTCGCCAACGAGAAAACCCTGAAGATGACGTTAGTCTGGCTTCTCAGAATTGTCTAAATAGAGTTTCTGCTTTGGCTCAGAATTTCAACTTGTTGTTGTTTGCATATTGCATACTTATCGGATCTAAACGAATACTTTGATTTTGATCACTTGTTACGTATAGCAGCGATTGCAGTTAATTCAAGGCCACGCGATCATCAGAAAATCGTTCAATCAAAGGAGACTTCAATTTACGATGAGTACAATGGAGTAGTGATTGTCTCCCGACTTGTGTTAAGTATGGTGCAGTCATATACATGAGATACTTGCCCCCTAACATGCCCTTACCGACCTTTTGATTCTGAGAGCCATCTTACGTATAGAACAAACAAAAAATTAAAGCAATTTCAACTTTATTGTATAAGCGATACAGTGGAGTGTTGCTTGAAGATGACCAACATATTTTAAAAATCAAAACTAAATTTCGTCATTTAACATCCAAGTAAATTGGTCGAGCGGCTTGTTGTATCGACTACCAGTTACAATACCAGTGGTTCGATTCCATGAGCACTATTTTGTTACATTTTTAATAGCACTGTTTCACTTTTTAATGTTAACGTTGACAAATCACAATATTTGCTCACTAGAGAATTGCCTAAGGTGGGTGGGTAGATAATTATTAATAAAATAGCATTAAATGACTTGATTAAACATAATTGCATCTTGAATGAGGACGGTAAAGTCTTGGACCTTGTTCTCTCTAACACAGTGATTTCGAGTGTAAAACGTAGTGATCGACCTTTAAGTAATCTTAATTCTTATCGTCCACCTTTGGAGTTTGTAATTTCTTGTCGAATTTCATCTAGATCATCCAGTAAGGCCACCAATGACAAATATAATTTTTACAAAGCTGACTATGATAAAACAATCACTGATTTAAATTCAACCTCCTGGGACAGTACCCTATCCTCTAAAGAGTCCATA